TGGAGAAAATAGACCACACACAACTTATAAATTACGTGGAGAGGAATTAAAAGAATTGTAATAAAGAACGAGATCTAGGGGAAGTTTTGGATAGTAAATTGTCATCAGAGGAACACACAAAGAACATTGTGCAAGGAGCGTATGTGTCACTTTCCAACTTCAGACTTGCATTTAACTACATGGATGGTGAAATACTAAAGAAACTGTTCACGACTTTTGCGAGACCAAAATTAGAATATGCAGCAGTTGTATGGTGTCCATATCTCAAGAAGCAGATCAATAAACTGGAAAAGGTACAAAGACATGCTGTAAAATGGCTTCCGGATTCATTCCGGATCCGAAAATAAGTTATGAGGAGAGGCTAGAGGAGTTAAATATGCCATAGCTAGAAAATAGAAGAAAAGGAGGCAATATGATCACCGCTTGCAAAATAACAACAGGTATCAACCAAATTGACAAAGAGGAATTCCTGAAACCAGCAACTTCCCAAACAAGTGGACAGATTCAAGCTAGGAAAACAAAGGGCCAAAAAATTATTAGAAAGTTTTCTTTTGCAAACAGAGTGGTAGGCAGTTGGAAGACGTTAAGTGAGAAGGTGGTGGAGGCCAACACCGCCAGTAATTTCAAAGCGTTATATGACTGTGCTGGGAAGACGGGACACCACGAGCATAACTCTCATCCTGTAACTACACTTAAGTAATTACACGCACACACACACATGGTGATATGGCTAGAATACTTTTATTTGGGTTGGTTATGTAGCTGGCTGCTACCTAAACCACATTATCAGGAAGTTGTCTATGCATTTTTTTAAGTCCATAAGCTGAAAATGGTAAATTGATTTTAAGGACTGGATTTATTCTTTTCACTTGTTAACTTGAGAAACTGGTAAATAGGTAACTGGTTAACAGATGTACCACAGCATATACTGTACTGGCAGTCTGTCAGTGCTGCTTGATTTGGCTTCCTCCTCCTCAGCTCAGGAACAACTTTTTTTGCTTTATTGTGAAGACCACCTGGAATCTCCTGTAGAGTTCCTCACACACTTGTCATTTTCCATAAACCAGCCATCTGCTATCTTGTTTCACCACTCTTTCCTTAAATGTTTGCTTCAGAACGCCATCGGGAAGAAAAAACTGGATTGGTTCTTTTCTTTAACTGCAATGGCATTTCCAAAATCCCTAATGCAACAATGAATTTATCAGGAATTGCAATCATTACATCCCAAATTCTATACAAACTACTTGTAAACTGCTGAAACCACATCCTTATGCTTAGCCACCTTAACTTCCCATTAGAAATATTAACACATACTAGGAAATGTAGATGTTTATCTCTCAGAATGTTTGGTAATATGTTTATTGTTTGTGATGTGTGTATATGTATGTATTAACACGATGTACTGAACGGGGTGAGAATAGCTTGAGCTACCTCATCCCTTTGTGTGTATTTTACCTCAATAAACTTATTTCAATTTCAATTTCAACACATACTGCCCCAATTAGCAGTTAATTGTAATAACTTGGCCTTTTGCTTGTCCAAATGACAAACTACTGCACCGTACTCACCACAGTGACACCATGTTTCAATCTCGCCTATTCCTGAAGTTCAAACCTTCCTCTCCCTATCTCATTCAACATGACTATCACTGTTGCTCAATATCAAACGGTCTAAATTATTCAAGCTTGCTACAAAATAGTTTGAGGATACAAATGCAATCCTCATTGCTTAACCCTTTTGATAATTAATCTACTGCAGGGACTTCAAAAAAAAATCTACATTTTCATTATATTATTACCTTAATCCTGGTACTATTACCTATAAAAAAAATCCAAATCGTGCAAAATTTGACCAAGTTTTCCCAAAAAGCAATACAATTATTTATACACTTGGTATTGAAATGTTAAACAATGACTGCTCTATTGCAATGTATAAAGAAATTGCAAATTGCATAATAAATATATTTTCTGTGAATATTTTAATGTGATGGAGCTAACGTAACATACTGGTCAAGATGAACACACAATTATTTTAAACATTAATAATTTCGGCAATAAATATATCCGCTAAATATACAATTTTGGTTTTAAAATGCTCACAGATATTTTCTGTACTGTAAACCGCCACAAAAAATTAAAGTTGTGAAATGAATTGTTTAGACTTTTATAATTCAGTTTTGGAGACAAAGGCTGGCCAGGATGGGTCTGTACATACCTAATTGTGTTTGAGGGTTATTAACCCTCAAAGAGCAGCTATCATAAAAACTGACACCTTTCCTGTGCATGAAAAAAAAAAATATTTGTTCTTATAAAATGATACATTAGTATGTAAAAATTAAGGAAAAATGGCAAAAAGCCACACATACTGTATCCAGTTTTGGGTTTCGTACCTGTCGGAAAAAGCCAGATGGGAACTCATTTTCAATTTGGATGGTTTTTATACTCGCAACTTCCCATTAGCTTACACATTGTGTTGTATAACTAGACTTTTATACACACAATTGAAAAACATCAAGTACTGTATATAGAATTATAGAACAAGATACTGAATGTACACACACACACACAGTATAGGCAAGGCTCAAAGGATGCACCTTGCAGCCTAATCTATCGCTGCTCTTCTGTCTGGTAATGTCCACTACAAATAGATTCGAACAACGGAAGAAAACATCAAACTGAGATTTAATGATGACTGCAAGCCAGTATTACATGGAATAATAAATGAATGGAATGAATGAATGGAATGAAAGAAATTATTATTATTATTGAGATTATATATATACAGTATTAATATATACCTAATATATACATATATATTATATTTATATATATGTATATATATACATTATATATATAAATATATAAATATATATATACATATATATATATATATATATATATATATATATATATATATATATATATATATATATATATATATATATATATATATATATATATATATATATATATATATATATATATATATATATATATATATATATATATATATACATACATGTATGTATACAGAAAAATCATATGTGAAAAATAGAGAATGCTAAACACGTTTTCGGGTCAATTCGCCTTCATCAGAGCATTTTAGAATGAGCCTAAATCATTTTATACTCATTTTAAAATGAGTTTTTCAGTCTAAAATGCTCTGATGAAGGAGAATCAAGCCAAAAATGCATTAAGCATTCTCTATTTTTCCACATATATGGACCAGTGTTTTTGTGATCATTGTTGCATGCATGTATATATATATACTGTATAAATTTATATTTTCCCAGTCATTCAAATAAGGGAAAAATGGAAAGGCCAACAAATACTGTAATTATAAACAAGATTAGTATCTCAAAGTCAAATAGAATTGCTATTAAAGTTTTAAAATTATCACAAATTTTTCTGTATAAATATACAAAATGGTTATATAAAGAATATACGTCCACCAAGAACAGCAATGTATGCGCATTAAGGCTCCTTGAGGGTATTCTTAACACTTACCGCAACCAACAGCTATTACTTTAAAATACAACTGAACCTCTTGACCACCTTGGTACTAATATAAATATAAATACTAATATAAAATTTCATATTTTTCAGAAAGTACATTCTACTAATTTTCAAGCTTTTAATAATTTTCAGGTATGCAGCAGGCAGAATTTCAAATTAGTTTCTGACATTATAGGAAAGTAATAATTACAACTTGTAATAAACCCTCCCACTTTATTTTTATCCGTTATAAGATGTTTCATTTTCTATTAATACAATACATGGAAACGAGTAATAAAAATATTTTGTTTCAGTCATACTGATACTTTGTGGAGGCATATGGTCCCTTCCTATAACATTTGTATGAATAAAGGTTCAATCCTAATTCTACATAAAAGTGCAATTTTATCCATAGTAAAATGTATGTCATTTGCTGGCGCCACTGACTAGTGTGGCTCATCACTGAATCGGTAAATACTCCTTATTTGAGAGGTGCCACCATAATTATTATAAACACCCAAGATTACCTAAAATAATAATACTTTTTGAAAATTATGAAATTTCTAGTTTATTCTAAATGTGCCTGAGTAACTTTGTTTCACCATGCAAGATTTAATTTTTTTTACCGTATACTGTATATATTATATATTAAATATACTGTATCATATTTAGACATAATATATTGTATCATATTTATACATAATATACAGTGTATTAAATATACTGTATCATGTTTATAATTATAAACCTGTCAATCTAAATAGTTGTAAATTTGTTAAAACCAATATTAAAGTCAGCAGAGCAAGGTGACATCCTGACTAAGCTCTTCTTGAAACAGAGCAGATAAACAGCTGTGTACCATTTTCCTTCTTAAAGGATGAAATTATTTTAAGTGAGAGGTGTTTGCATGACCAAGGCCTTGAAATTATGAGGCAGTTAGCTAAAAGTTGGCTGTCCTATCCTATCAACCCTACTCAACATGAGCGAAAAATAGCATCATGCATAGAAAATGGTGGCCATTTGTCGAAAATCACAGCATGTAAGTACAGTATGATATTTGTAATTTACTGAAAGCAGATTAATTCATACATACTGAAACCCTAAGTACAGCTTCTAAAAATAACTGATGCTTAGGAATAGCAATTGAATACTATGAATTCTGCAATTATATTTGTAAATAATACATACATATAATATCATTTCCCTATTTCCCAGTATCACGGAATGAGGGTATATAAATGGCACTTTAAATTTTACCAGTCTACAATAAAAAAAAAAAATGATGGTGACTGATCAGCAGTTTTAGACTATAGTTTTTTGAGATTGGCACTTGTGCATGAAGAAAAAGTTAAACGATAATAGTGATATGTTTCATGACCACAAGGGTGACAACAGAAATGTCAAACATTCCTCAAAATAACCAATGTTGTCCAGACACAACAAATCTTCCAATAACATGGTCAAAGAATACACCATACAACATAATCAGCTACAAAAGTTACTTACTGAGATCACTTTTTAAGGAGTCAATGGAATTGCTCCTCGTATCTTGCGGTCTTGTTGCCAAGCAGATGCGAGTATGCGTTGCTGCAGGAGAGTTTTCCAGGCTAGAGGAACCAGACATTGGTGAAACAGCTATACCCACTTCTGTCGATCCACTGACCAGCAACGGGGAGGCTGCAGTGCCCCGGCCTAACGTCCGTCCATTTCCATCAGTGGCTCCAACCACCAACCTCCTCCCGCTACTTACTCCTGTACGAATCACTGAAGCTGGTTTTCTCGAAATTTGTGAAATCTGCAGTTGAATATGAGCTTGATTTCCACGCTGGGGATGTTTGCTCTGGGTCACAGAGCCTGATCCTGTTAAAGCTATTTGTGTAGTTGATGCTGTACTAGTGCTTTGCTGCATGCTACTTCCAGAAGAAAAACTTTTATCTGATATCCTCTGTTGTTCTTGTTGCTTCTGCTGTTGTGACTGATGATTTTGCTGTGATGTTTGTTGTGAGCTTTGCATTATAAATGGCTTAAGGGTAAAAAATGGAGGTAATGGTCCAGCCAAGCCTTCATTAACACTTTGTTCACTACTGTTGCTTTCCTCTCCCATTTGAAAAGAAGAGGGTGTGGGAGGTAGCTCAGTAGCAGGGGATGGAGTGTGAGGGGATGCTATGACAGGTTGTGGAGTTGGAGGCGAAGTCACGGTATTTGCTTGTGGTGTAAGAGGTGAAGTTGGAATTAATGAAAGAGGGGTTGGGCCAGATGTCGCACTGCTAGTAGGTGTACTATTGTGTGTAACACTGGTGGAAGTATTAGTGATGACAGGCGTGTTGGTTATGATAGATGTCGTAGTAACTGGTGGTGAATTAGTAGCTATAGATGTTTTGGTAACAGTGGTAGAGCTAGTAATGGTGTTTACAATAGTGTGTGTGTCACTTTGAGTGACAGATGGTAGGGACGGCAAGCTAACATGGATAGAACGAGTTGGTGATGTTATTCCAATTACTTCCTCATTTCCTGTAATTTGGAGTTGTTGGATCACACCACACTTTTGTTGGTGCTGTTTCTGTTGTTGGTGCTGTGATTTTGCCTGAGTAGTAGAAAGCTGCTGAACTGCAACTTGTTGCAATACCTGTTGACCACCAGAAGTCTGCACAACTACTTGCTGAACAGCCTGATGACCAGCCATTTGCTGCTGTTGGACAATCTTACTAACAACTGTGGGAGTTTGACTTAGATTAGAACCCCCTGTCAACAGGGACGCAATATGACTTTCCATGAGATCATTCATATTGATGCGGCCCTGTATAGTAACATTAGGTGGTGGGCCAGACTGACCAGAGGTTTTTACTTTGCTTAAAGGCTGACGTGTTGTAATGGCAGTTACCTTTCCACCATGATGAATAAGCTGTACCACTCTGCCTCCTGCCAGACCCTGAGTGAGACTGGTTGTACTATTAGATAGATTGCTACCTTCCATTTTAACATTAGACACCACCACACCTTGTAACAGCTGGGGAGCTGCTGCAGTAACTATCTCTTGGCCACTTTCAATCTTTATTTTGTCATCAGGGATAACAGTATTCCCAGCAGGAGAATTTACTTGGCCAGAAACAACTTGGGCAGAATATTGTACAGTCTGCACCCCAGAAGGAGTACCTGAAAGCCCAAGAGAGTTGTCACTTGCTGGCCCAGGAGAAGGGCTAGGAGAAGGACAACCAACTATTGAACCTTCAGATACAGCTGGACTATTAACTGCACCACCTTCAACCTTCTTTACAGGACTCTTTTTCTTATTTGATGACTTCCCTTCATTTTTAGGAGGTGGGCAGTTTTTTCTATTTCGTGGTGCTGGTTGTGGCTGTGGAGTATTGGCAAGATCTTGTTTATATTGTTCCAATATTGCTTGAATGCGTGCTTTAGTTTCATCGCTTTCTTCAACCTGGGGCTTAGCAACTGTTGGTTTTGGAGCAGGAGCTTTAGGTGGGGGCGGTGTCTTTGGCTTAGCCACAACGGGAGGAGTAGTTGGAGGGACAACCTTCGACTTGGGTGGTTGTTTCTTGTTTTTACTAGAGGTGGATGATGGTGAAGATGCTATTGAAGAGTGGGATGAGGTAGAAGACAATGTAGGTGACGGTGCTGTCGGGGGCTGTTGCCCTTGCACACCACTTGCTACTGTTACAATCCCAGTTCCAGAGCCACTATGGTTTACTAATATAAGGGTTCCTGCTTGTGTGGTGCTTGGAATGGTGATGTAAGTTCCTTCAGTTAGGCGTGTGCCACCTGCATCATACACCGTTGTGGGTACAGAATAAACATAATTAGAAGATGTAGTTACAGCTGGCGTATCATTGGCCATACTTAAAAGTTGTGCGGCAATCATTGATTCTTCAGAGGACATGGTGGCACTCGAGTAGCTCTCGGCGCTAGCTTCCCCATCGGCTACCTCTTTCCCAGATTTATTTGAAACTTTTTCAAAAACAGATTCAAATTCTCTAAGCTGTTCCAAAGTTTCAGAACTCACAACATTTGTTGGAGTAAGAGGAAGAGATGAGAGATTTGACTGCTGTGGTGGTGTTGGGCTTGTAGATATAGTGTTAGGTTGTCCAGCAATTCCCTGAACTGCTCCAGCCAATGAAAGAGTTGCACTTCCACTTCTTAAGTGATTCATTGCAACCTGATTTACTAATTGACCAGCTGAGGGTTTGACAGCTGTAGTAAGAGTCTGTGTGCCTACACTTTGTGTACTAGTAGAACTTACTAATGCAGTTTTTAAGTAGTGACTAAGACGTTCACCAAGACCTTCATCTTGAGGTAATCGAGCAACTGTTACACTAGTGGTAGAGGTTCCTGAATTTTTGTCACCTTCAACAACCTGCTGCTGTTGTAGTTTTGCTCCAAGTCCTTCCTCAAAAGTAGATGTTTCTCCAGGTGCTTGAGTAGAGGTCTGTGGTCTTAAGGTACGGATGACAAGACCGCCACGTCCTAAAACCTTCTGTACAATAGTGGAGGGAGGGATTTTTGCTCGGACAGTGGCAGAAGGACCCTGGGGCTGTAACACTCCACCCTCTACACTGCCAGTAGTAGAGGATGTACTAGTTCCTTGGCTGAGTGCCACTACTTGAGATTTTAGATGGCCTGTTTGATGCGTATTCAAACCTTGAAGTGCAACTGTATGAGGTACTACAACTGTACGCACAATCTGTCTATTCTGCACATTCTGTAAGATCTTGACATTGTGAAGCACATTAACTTGTCGACCACCTGCTTGATTAATAACACCCGTTACCTGTTGTTGTTGACCTGCCGTTCTTACTGCTCCACTGCAAGACTTAATCACCCTTGTACCAGCATGTAACCTTAAGTCCAATGAGGAGGAATGAACAATTCCTAAGCCCGTTGAACCATCACTAGTGTGTACTTGAACAAATTGAGCTGGAACAAGTACCTGTTGCACTGCTCCACTACTATTGTCACCAACACTACCATTACCACCAACACCACTACTAAGAATTCCACCACTAGCAACAACGACACCACTTCCTGTTGCTCCACCAACTACACCACTTGCCATAATAACACCACTATTGGTGCTAGTCCCACTGGTAATAACAACACTTCCATTACTAGTACCAGTGCTAGCTAATGTACCCATTACAGCACTTGTTACCTGCCCTTCACCTGACACTGCTATAGGAACACCACTGCTACCTACAACAGATGTTAGAGTATGAGGCAGAGCAGCAGTGATAGTGGTAATGGCTGTGGAAGATTGTGTGTGGAGAGGGCTGGGTGGAACTGGTCGATCCCTAAGTAAAGTTTCAAGCATACTAGCTGCTCGTATGTCCCCCGGAGGGCTAGCCACGGTGGTGGTGCAGGTGGTGGCTCCCCTGGTGCTGCTGATCTGAGCAATTGTAACAGTGCTGTCAATACCACTGACTAAATTAGCAAGTGGTGCTTCACTGACGCATACTGTTTCACTCTGAACTGCATCCCAGGTTTGCTGCAGCTGCTGCTGCTGCTTGCCATTATTTCCACCTAGTGTCCCCAAGGGGGAACTAAGATTGTTGGTATTGGAGTTGAGGACACTCCCTACCACCGTGGCTGAGACTAAAGGGGCCGGCAATGAAGTTGATGTTGATGCTGGCCCAACAAGAGCAGTTCCTGTTGTTGATGTAGAACTGGCTACAACTGATGTCAGAGTTGGACCGCTATTGACCACCGACTCTTGCACTCCCATGTTTCCAGTTACAACAACTCCTCGGGAGTATGTTGAACGGATTGTAGCTGCATTTGTCCGTACAGCCATTACAGGGTTCCCTGTACGGAGGCTAGCACTGGAAACTGTAACAGCAGGTCGTGCAACCACTGTTGAAAAGGTTCCAGGTCGAGTAAGCACAGTTCGAGTACTAACTATACCACTAGATCCACCATTATTGAGACCACTAGGTCCGGCACCATCTGCTTTTGGTTTTCTAACAAGAGTTGTGCCCTTAGGTAAAACCCGATTTAAATTTGTTGGATTAGTCTTGTCAGTTGGTGGTAAATTTGGAGGATTATTACTAACTGGCATTGCAATTGCAGTGCGACCGCTCATTGCTGATATGGCATTTTCAGGTGACATTATCCTATTTAAGACAGTTTTCTGAGCATTAGCTAGTGCTAAAGCAGATGGAACTTTCTGAGACTTATAAGTAACTGTTGTACCTTGTTTCTTGAGATAATCAAGACTAGCATCAAGTGACATGTTTTTTCTAGTCAAAGTAACGCTAGAACCTTTGCTTCTAAACCCCGAGTTTTGCTGCAGCAAAAATTTGGCATACGAGTCATCATAGCCAGATGTTGGTTCATTTATCATTCTTAAGTAGTTGCTGCTCCCGCCAGGATTGGGTGGGCGAGTACCACAAAGTAATGCTCTTTGAAGTGGAGCAACCCGCACCTTGCCATCTTTTGCGCGGAGGTAACACTGAACCGACATAGAGCGAGGGAGAGAAACAGATGCTGCTGGTCGTGTAGTTGTGGTAGGATTGGGTGCCACCAAAGATCCTGCATACCTCCAGGACCCTCGAGGCTGACTAGATGGAGTGGTTCTCACTGGTCCCATACTCCTCCCAGCAGCAACTGTTGTCACTGACCTCTGCATCTGTTGACCGATTGCAGTTTTGTCACGTTCGGTCAACACAACACGAGGGTTAAGATTAAGTGAGCTGAGCGGAGGAGCAAAGTGATCCGAGGATCGTACTGCACCTTCAAACTTATGTTCAATTACAGTTTCACCTCCATATTTCTGATGACGAAAGAGACGAAGGGTATTCAATAAATTTCTGTCGCGTCTTAGTTTCCCAGTTTCAGCATCAATTCGAATTCGTTTACTTCTGTCTTGATTACTAACAGCAGTTACTCTCTTCCCTTCAACTATTTTGCCACCATCAGCTTCCATTTTTAGTAATCTCGTTTTGCCTTTGCTTTCCATATCCGATTCATCCGACTCCGACATCACATAATGTGATCCATCCCTTCTCCCATCATTAGAATCATAGTCAGAATCAGAATCATAGAGTCTATTAGCATGAGGAATTTTCTTTGGTCTTCCTCTTCCCCTCTTAATATGTTTTTCATTGTCAGTAGAGTCTGAATCAACAGATGAGTAGCGCCCCGTTCTGGATTGAGCACAATATTCCCCTTCAGAGTAATCACTTTCAGACTCGCGTACAATAAAGTGTTCATACCCTTTTTCAATCCCAGTGAATTCTGTTATCTCGGCTGAAGGCATATTTCGAAACTGGCTATAATCAATATTGAGATACTTTAATTCTTTGGTCATATTCTTAGCACTATCAGCATCATTAAGGTAACGTTCACATATTTTGCTTAATTCACTCCAATCACGCATCCATGACAAAACTTGCCAACGAGGACTACTTAGCACCACTGCCAAATCATCACAGAGTTCTTTTGTTAAGCCTAGCTGATCTGCATCAAGTACCTGATTGGGGTGAGTCAGAACATCATAATTTTGACACCGACTCAACAATGTTTCAGTCAAATTAGTCAGAAGTAAATTCCTTGATGTTTTCTTCGGTGTTTCTTGACTTAACTGTTCAATAAAATTTTCCGTGCTTTTGTAAAACTTGTCCATAGAATCTACATCATCCTTAATTCTATTTTCCAAATTAACACTATTTTCACTGCCCTCGTCATCAATAACCGCATCTTTGGTTTCCAACACACACACATCATCTGTCTTTAATTGAGCACTGCTTACACTATTTACTTGTGACATTTGAGAATTTTGAGTGGGTAAAAAATTTGAGGGAGTTTGTCCTGTGTCTACAGTTATTTGTGTCACACACTGGCCATCATGTGGGGGATCTTTAAGCTTAATTAATGGAGGGGAACTTTGGCCTTTTACTATAAAATCAGTGTCATTTTCATCCTGATTACTCACTTGTACTGCACTGGCACTAGTCACTTCCATTTCAGAAATATTAACACTATCCTGAACACCAACACAATTATGACTAATTTGGACTGAGTCACTTGCACTGGACTTAATCCTTGTAAATAAATGAGGACTGTGTGCATGTTCTTGAGAAATTTGTGTTCTATGAAGGTCTAAAGACGTGGACTGAAAACAAGAGGGGGGTTGTGTGGGTTGAACACCATGATAGCTATGTAAAGTGTCAAGACTGTCTGCTGTGGTGCTGGTTGAAGAAGAAGATTGGAGGCACATGGCTGATAACCCCAGTAATGTACGATCATCCTGTTTAAAGTCAGGAGAGTGAGGGGGAGGAAGAGGTGGAGGACGAGGAGAAGTGGGTGGAGACTGAGGTGTAGTTGATGAAGGAGAAGGGAGTGGCTGCACACTGGAAGCTGCATCACTGGCATGGAATGGGGAGGGCTCTCTCACAAAGCTGTTGAGCAAGACTAAGCGATCAGATGTTGGGTGCAGACTGAAAGCAGTGAGCACACATTCTCTTGCCACACTTTTATGAGTTGTAAAGACTGTTGCTAGATCCATAAAACCAGCAGCCATCTGTTGCTCCAACTGCAGGTGTGCATCCTTTATGTTACCTTCTCTCTCCTTTAATTTTAGAGCTTCTAAGCTATTCATGTCCATGGTCAGAGCTCGAATCAAAAGCTCAGTCACAAGCGAAGCCACCCGTTTTCCAAACTGTAAATAGTAAGATTTATATAATTTCAATCAAAGAAAAAATATATAATTTAATATTTAACATGAAACATTCTTTTAACATTTGTAAAAAATACATATACACACAACATACCTGCTGTGGGCTTCAAGAGGCTTGAACCCCACAGCCACAGGCCACACACACAGGACTGCTTGAGGCTTCAAGAAGACCTAGACAAACTGAAGGAATGCTTGAACAAGTGGTTGTTGAGTTTAACCCAAGCAAATGTACTGTAATGAAGATAGGTGTAGGGAGCAGGAAGCCAGATACAAGGTATCATTTGGGAGATGAAATTCTTCAAGAGTCAGAGAGAGAGAAAGACTTGGGGGGGCTGATATCACGCCAGACCTGTCCCTTGAAGCCCATATCAAGAGGACATCAGTGGCACATGCCAGGCTGGCCAACATAAGAACGGCATTTAGAAACTTGTGTAAGGAATCATTCAGAACATTGTATACCACATATGTCAGACCAATCCTGGAGTATGCAGCTCCAGCATAGAGTCCATATCCAGTTAAGCATAAAACTAAACTGGAGCAGGTTCAAAGAGTTGCCATCAGACTAGTACCCAAACTGAGAGGTATGAGCTACGAGGAGAGACTATGGGAGTTAAACCTCACGTTGCTGGAAGATAGAAGAGATAGGAGGGACATGATCACCACCTACAAGGTTCTCAAAGGAAGTGATAGAGTAGATAAGGACATGCTATTTAACACAAGGGGCACACGCACTAGGGGGGACAGGTGGAAACTGAGTGCCCAAATGAGCCACAAAGATATTAAAAAGACATTTTTTAGCGTCAGAGTGGTTGACAAATGGAATACATTAGGAAGTGATGTGGTGGAGGCTGACTCCACACACACAGTTTCAAGCGTGGATATGATAGAGGCTCAGGAACCTGTACACCAGTTGATTGACAGTTGAGAGGCGGGACCAAAGAGTCAGAGCTCAACCCCCGCAAGCACAAATAGACGAGTACACACACACACACACACACACTCACAGTATTATTACACATACATATTTACATATATCATATATAAATTGTCGTCCACACTTCTGCAGAAATAAACTTTCCATTCATCTGGGCTCTAGGAGACTCGAACCGTGGACCACCTCGAGCATGTGAGGCCGAAGCTCTATCGACTGGGCTATGAGTAGTCTTAATAAGGAAAGTTTTCTTTTAAGGAATAGAGTAAGGATAGAGCTAGTACATGGAATTTATCAACTTCATAACTCATATTTTCTGTTGCCCAATAGAAGACTTTATTAATTTTAGCTTGTAGTTTTCAATGATTTTTCAATAGGCCATTACTCCATGATCACATTAATCAAATGCCTATGCAAAGCTCTGGTATACCACATCTGCATTTTGTATTTAAACACATTTACATTATTTATATAAAAACTAAAAAAAAAAATAACCAGGCAATAACTTTAAATCAATTTACAATAACTGCACTACCCTGAGGACCAATGTATGAAAACACTTTACTGGTTAATTCTGTCACAGTGATGAAGAGATGATGCAAAGACAAGATCTTCGTTATCTAAAGGTGTGTGTCAAATTAGGTTCATAGCCAAGTGCAACAGGACTGTGTTTTATTGCCATAGCTTTAATTCATCCCGTGTGAAATGAAACGAATGCAGTTTTTAGGGCTATAGGAATGTAAAATGTGTCCAGAATTGTTCTCTATTTCATACCATGTGCCTATGCTAATGATGTTTTGCACTCCTTTATCAACAATGAATCACAGGAATCTGGCCTCAGAGCCAAGTGCATTGGAATAAAACAGGAAAGCAGTACTATACCTTCATATATAATATGGAGCTCATCTTGTATATATGCAACGACGACTCAGAGAGTTGCATGTACTTGTGGATCATTTGACTTAGCAAATCATCAGGAACTGCAGCAGCTTCCTGTACACCACACCATTCATGAAAAACACTCCTAGGGATGAAGTAAACAAAATTAAATATTTAGATTTAATATTTGAGTTACTAAGGAAGACAATTTAAGAATTAAAAGTCTTAAAGGTCAATAGTGTGTGTGAGGCTGTGTGTGGCTATGAATATATACACACGTCTGCTCTTAGATTTGAATGCAAAATGTAAGGAAACAGGAAACTTGAAAATAATGTAAGTATCTATATCATTTCTGGTGTGGCGAGTTGTTAAATTTCGCTGGGTGGCAGGCCCAGCCAGATCTGTCAACGTTAGACATGAGGATTGCTGACAGTGTGCCACGTGGCAGTTTATCTTGAGCATTTCTATGATGGGTTTTTTCCACATTTTAGTTTATTCACTATAGTACTGTGTTAAATAACAAGATTTATGTACATGTAATTTACAAAAACATGAATTGAGTACATTACTCAAGATAGCAAGATGGTGTCTTGTCAAGAATTAAGGCAGGAAAGATTATTTTAGAAGTTGTCAGAAGAACATTGTTTGTATATGCAGAATGAAGACTTCATTTGTGTTTATTATGTCTATCGTAAAGAGTATGGCCAATTTAACTAAAGTATTGGAGAGGCCAAGAGGAATAGGAAACGCAATAAACAGCAGCAGCATTGGAAGCATGACCAGCAGTGTGAACTAGATTACAATGAAGTGTGTTGGTTTGCCGAAAGGCAATATTTGCAAATATGCAGCCAATATGAATATTGAGTGAAAATATATTCAAAAAGATTCTAAATCTCTTCAAGACAATCTAGATAGGCTTTTGAATTGGGCAACAGAGTGGCAGCTGCAATGTAATGCTCACATATGTAAGGTTCTGAGGCTAAGTAATCATGATAGTTACTAGATATCAGCTGGATAGTACTGAAATTGCAAAGTCTGATTGCAAAAAAAAAGCTTATAATTAGTAAGAATTTAAAGCCAAACAAAAATAATTAATAAATATTCAGAATAAGGCAAATAAAAGTGATTTGTTTCTAGAAAAGTTAGCAACAAAACACACAAAAGTTATAATTCAATTATACCCTGCTTTTGTTAGGTCTTATTTAGATTTGACAGTTCAACTTTGGTTGCCAAACTATAGAATGGGCATAAATTGACTTGGATGTATCCACAGCAAAGGAAGATTAATCCCAGGAATTAGAAACTTTCCATGGAGAGAGAGATTGAGAAAACTTAATTTACATTCTCTAGAAAGGTGAAGACTTTGGGACGACATGATTAAAGTATAAAAGTGGATGAATGGGCATAAGGGGGAATATTTATAAAATATTAAATATATCAATGTAAAATAGAACACAAAACAATGAATATAAATTGGATAAGTTTAGATTTAGGAAAGACCTGGGTAATACTAGTTTGGTAACAGGGTTGTCGATTTGTAGAACAGATTATTAGGCAACATAAAAGACACGAGGATCACTCAATTCTTTCAAGCGTATGCTAGACTGTATACTGTATATGAACAAGTTTGGGTAGATATAAATAAAAGCTGCCTCGAATGGGTCAATGGGCCTTCTGCAGTTTCCTAAATTCTTATGTATTTATATATAGAGATAGATATACTAAAGTTACATATATTTAATTACATTTTATTATGTTTTATATATATATTTTTTAGCTACAAGTTAAGAGATAAAACAAAGTTTAACATATAATACTTTGCATTCCTTTCATACTGTGGCATCATTTAATGCAGCTCATTGGGTTTCACTGTAAACAATGTTCAAGAACTTGAGCACTGTCTTTTCCCATTTTCCTTACTCCACTTAAAAGAAAATGTTGTTCAACATACCAAAAATCATGGGTGCACTTCTTGACAATGGTCTTGGCCAAGAAGATTTGAATAGCAAGGTCTGCGATTTTCAGCCGATGTTTCCAGACCTTAGCCTTGTCCTGTTTAGCAACAAGTCTTCTTACTAAGTTCACACCTTCATTCACATCCAGCTGTGCCGTAACCTATAAATGAGCAGATAAATATTGATATACATGCCTGTATATATTTCATTAAATTACTTGGTGAATATATATTACAGCTATGCTAATGTTATATTAGGCAGTAAATGCCAAATTGTAATTACAGGAAGAAACCTATTTTGTGGTGCACTGTCATCATAATATATTTTGTAATCAATTTGCCGATTTGTGCCCCCCCCCCCCCCACCATCAATAGAAAGTTGCACTTGATATCCAGCTAACAGTACACACAATAATTTAACAGAGAAGCTGTGAATGGAAGTTACAGCTCGGGGAATGAAAAAACACATCAAATTTATCAACAGCATTTTCTGAACATTGACCCAGAAGACTCGCACCACTGATCAAACATCCACTTTGGTGGAGGAAGTGAAGCAAAGTGAAGTCTCCATCCTCCACTCTCTTTCCATTAGATGCACTAACCATGTCTAAGTTAAATTGTATATTTACAAATAAATTCTACTCTTATTTTGGTGTTTCTCTATATGGTTGTCAGCAGTTTGTGTTCTCTTCAATCAACAAAGTAATAACTTGTTACTGGTCACAGGAGTAGAGTTATACTAACATGCCACACCTTCGTTTCATATGAATATTGTATGGTTTAAAATTGGGTTTATCACAATGTATTTCTTCCACATGGAGCCAATTTAAACAATCTTTAAATTTGCCATCACATTTGATTATATGCATTTATACAATTCACATAATGCTCGCATGAGAGTGAACAGTGAATTGGATGGAATGTCCACATTCCGTCAATGAATATTATTGCAGAATTGTGATACAAAATATTAGATCCTCAGTGTGGCAGACAATAACAATACAAAACACACAATCTGCTAAAACAAAAACTCCTCTACATATACTCGTCATTGATTGGCTAAGAACTATTTTATCTGGCATTGTACAGACAAAGTAATTGATACTGAACAATTTATAACACAGCAAATACAACAAAAATCAAGTTACATCATAATCAGTTACTAGCTTCCTCAACAACAAGATAATAAAGCATACAGTACGAAGCCATCTAAATACAGTACTGACCCAGACAAGTCACACTTCTTACAGTTTATTTTCAATTTCGAAATATTCTAAAACTTACCTCATCTAAAAAACTTTTGCGCTGGAACTTATATAGCAGAGCAAAATACAAATCAACATAGTGATTGTGGTCTTCATCTGTATAGAGTGGAACTTCCATCCCTTCAGATCTGAGACGTATACATCTGCAAAGTAAATAGCAATAAGCAACTAGCAAAAGAAACAGACAAGGAAATAGTTCCTGAAAGAATATAAATTCAGTTTTTACAGTAACATTACAAAAAACAACAATGATGACAAATTACTTAAAAAGACTAAAGGACAAGACAGTTAAAAACAATCAATAAATAAATATAATAATTCTGCATTTTGAAAATGCAGAATACCAAGAATTACAAAATCATATTATAGAGCATATTTGTGAAAGCAGACAAGTCATGCACACCACTATTAATCAAGACATTGTTCAAGGTCAAACACCCCTTTTCTGACAGGCAAAAAAAAAAAAAAAGCTACCCAAGAACTACACTACCCAATTTAAAAGTCAGCTTTATTATTGTCAAAATATAAAGTGTCATGAGTTTCATGTAATACAGATAGGTATTCTCAAGGAATGATTAGATACCACCTTAATAAAAAAAAATATAATGTATCCCACTGCCACGAATACCTAATAATTAAAAATTACACAAAGCACTGTCAACATACCTAATACAAACTTTGAGGACACGAAAGGCAAGCTCTTCACATCTTGACTCGATCATTGTGTCCACTCGCACACGTACCACCTCCCAGGTTTCATTGGAGATGTATTTTATAGCTGAAAAGCAGCAATATTAAGATTTACATTGAAATAAATGTAATGTGAATAAGCATATTTATCTACATACTTGTAAACCAACAGAGTATTTTGCATTTCATTATTAATCTTCTGTTTTACATGTTTATATACTGTATGAGCTTGGTTAACAATATCAGAGTTATCCAAAATTTACATTTACTAGTCTTGAAACTAGTGAGAGCTCAGCACAACACCCCCACCAGCAGAAGGGGGCCTGGAGCTCCAGGTCTTCCCCAAACCTTCCAAACCAGTTCTAGAGCAGATGTGAAGAATACACAACAATGAAAGGACCCCTCAGGAAGCCTGCCAACTCATTGTCTGAAAAGACGGAGGTGGCTGCAAGTGAACATAATGCTCAGCCGGACCAAAAGAACAAAAACTTCAACAGAAAAACTGTCTTAAAGAATCGTGGGCCGAAAGGAAACCATAATCGAGGGAAAGAAAAGGCAATAACACTTTCAAGAAACCGAGAAGGCTTAAACAGGCTTAAACAATTCATCATGAGCAAGCTGAAGGTAAAAAAGAAAAAGGGAAAGACAGGTTCCAAAACAACACCGAAGTAGTACTGATGCCAAACGCTAGCAGTAGCAGCTCCGCCAGTGCTGAACGATAACAAGGCAACAGTATTAGACATAAGAAGCAGGTCAAGAAATAACCATGAGAAAATGAAAGGACAACATTAATAGACAAAAAAAAAAAAAAAATGGGGACAAAGTGGCGGAAAGAGCACTAAGATAGTTTATACTGCTATTGGGAAGACAAATGCAGGTGGGACACAAATTCAGCCACTTGCTTGCTATTAATGTGTCAGAAAGACCTATCACAAAGAGCCAAGGAGAAGTTCAAACATACTAGGTACATCAGCAAACCAATCTTCTGAAAGTATGAGGATTGGAAGAAGAAAAAAAAATCCCTTTTCAAGGAAGGCGAGTGTGCAGAGTTGTACGAGAAGAACATCTCTTGAAATAAACAACAGGTACAGTAATCATATCTCAAATAGGAAGTGAAAACAAATCTGGACTAACTACAGGTATTTTTTCCTAGTGTTTTGACTACCACGCTTGTTAATGATATGGGTCTAATTCAGAGGATCTTCTCTGCTACCATTTTTGAAGACTGGAACTATGTTTGCCTTTTTCTGTGTTTTTTCTGTGTATCTATGCATGCATCTGTACATGTGTCTGTATTTGTATAATGTATGTATGTATAAGTCTTTGTGTATTTGTTTTTTTATTTGATGCTTTTTCTAATACAAAATATGAAAGTTTGATACCTTCATTATCTTGAACCTCTGAATCTGAGAAGATAGTCTTTGTTGTTTGACCCCAAGGATCCGACACAAGAGGTAATAATGTACGACACAGGGGCTGTAAGACAGCCACTCGCGAACATCGATGTAGCGTCACACCTAGCCGAGTCTTCACAATCTGGGCTAATCCTGGCCACTCTCCTTGTAGAACCAGTCGTAAACTCCATCTGCAAAATACATTTTAAGATGTCATATCAGGTACATGTTAAATTTGAGTTAATCTATGTTTAATCTTTAAAAGAATAAATTTATTCATATACATTAATGTAGTTCAACATATAAAATTAGTCCCTCTATCCATAATATACACATTCTTTCGTATAAGAAATTTAATGAATTAGGTACAGATCAGATTCATGCTTTTCTTTTGTATGCCAAAACATTAGAGGCCAGAATCTTTGTCCATGTTAAGATTTTTGCTTCTGAGATTTAAGACAATTTACAGTTCTTCAAATAATTCCCCCTACTGGTATCTTTACCTGCATGCTGGGGTTCTGGGAGTTGGTCTACTCCCCGAGCCCGGCCCGAGGCCAAGCTCGACATGTTAGTCCGACAGGCTGTTGCTTGGAGCGGCCCGCAGGCCCATATATCCACCACATCCCGGTTGGTCCGGCACTTCTTTAAGAAAATTATCTAGTTTTCTCTTGAAAATGTCTACGGTTGTTCCGGCAATATTTCTAATACTCGCTGGGAGAATGTTGAACAACCGTGGACCTCTGATGTTTATAGTGTTTTCTGATTGTGCCTATGGCACCCCTGCTTCTCACTGGTTCCATTCCGCATTTTCTTCCATGTCATTCACTCCGGTATGGTGTTTTTTTTTTTTACTGTGGAGATTTGGGACCTGGCCATGCAGTATTATCCACGTGGTATATTTCTTATGCATTTGGCAATAAAGTACCATATAAAACAAAACAATTCTTTCTAATTTTGCTATCTCTCATTATTCAATGCTTGCAACTATGGTGCATGCATCAATTCATATTGTAAGTGGCTTTTATAAGAAAAATTTTAATTATATTATTTCTCAACAATATCTTTACTCTACTTCAGTCATTCATACTTAAATTCCTTAATTAAACTTTTTTTTTTTGGCCTTTTTAAATTTTGCATTTTTTGTATTTTTCTTTCCACATACATTTGCAGCTTCATCATAAAGTGATTCCAGCATTTGCCGGTGATTCTAAATTCTTGGACATCAATGACAAGATTAACTAATAGCTGGGACCAACATATGGTGGCCTGAATCCCCCAGGCCACCATCTGTTTGTGGCCATTCACACTAGGCAGTTCAATCTACTTTTGAGTGAACCAATTGGTTTTGGTTCATGGAACCACATGGAATTGACGTGGCTCAGTAGTAGGAAGTCATCTCTGCATGGTAGCTTCAGGCTGTCACCAAGATACTCCTCCAGAAAATATATATAGTTATCAACATGAAAATGTGAAATAACCGAATCTTTGCATAACCCAAATAGGGTCCTGCCTTAATTTTTATTCGTGAGCTACACGAGTAAAATTGCGTGTCCATCAGTTGTACTAAACTGACATCAATGGTGGTCTAAAGTAATTAACAAATTTAGTTAGTAATAGAAGTCTAGATGCAACAGAAGGATCTCAACCCACAGCATCCAGATAAATCTGACCACAGTACTGCACACAAGAAATGCTTCTAGTGAAAATAGAACTTACCGATAGAGAAAGGTTGCAAGAGGCTGCACTTGGCTAACGTCTCCTTGAACAGTACCAGCCAGGTGTTCCCAACCCGACAGCACGGCACTCACTCGATTCTCATAGCTAACCCCTGGTCGAATTAGCTGACTCTCGATCTCCTGCTGACAAAGAATAAGTGTCATACCAAATGAATCCCATGTCCCACATACATGATTTTACATTACAGAATTAATGTAAAATACTAAAATAGGGTATTTGCAAGATTATAACTTTCATAAAAACAATGTATCAAATGGTACAAAATTGTATTTTTATAATTATTGAAATGTATTAGTAGTTTTTGTATCTAAAGAAGGATGACCATTAAGAAATCTATGAGACTAAGAATACTACAGACATTTTAGTGTTAAAGCAAACAGTTATATAAAATGAAATTACTATAGTTGAAATTTCAACACATGGCATTCGTTGCCAGTCTTAGGCCAAATGACACTCTCTGGATTATGGAGGTTCAATAAAAGTCCATTTCCTTAACTGTTCAGTAAGGCAACACCAAAAATATCCAGAGCATCTGCATATATACCACAAGTACATAATTTAATATGACATATCCACAAATAAATATTTGTAAGAAAATATTTGTGAACAATATTTTCAAGACCCACGTGACTTGTCTTGTGAGATTCATGTGAAAAATAACATTCATAAGAACATTAAAAATAAAAACAAAAATAAAGGAAACTGCAAAATGACTATTGGCTCAATCTTGTTCATAGAAGAACATAATAGGTGATATGAAGAGAGTTCTATTTACCTTCCAGGCATATGTAGGTTTCCCCATGTTTAGAATGATAGCTCAGCAGAGACCTAGAAAGTGTTTTATGCACTAGGTGTAATATGATTTGTAATAAGACCAGTGCAGAAAATTCTCTGAAAGGAAAATACAACTCTAAATCCTTTGGGAATAAACAGAAAATCAAAAAGAAATACCATGGTATACCGATATAAAAATCAGATCTAAAATCCACACTAGTTCCCATGAAAATAGGCACAGAACAAGGGGGTATTTGGGAGGAAGTTTCAAGGCGTGGTCAGAATTTTACTTTCAGGCATATGTACCTGGATGAGGTTCTGAGAATTCTTCTACTACCCAAGCATGGCCTGGGGCCACGCTTGATGTGCGAGAGCTTGGTATAACAGGCTGTTGCTTGGAGTGGCACGCAGGCCCACAGGAATACTAAAAGCAGCTGAAGGAATATGAGAAAATTTACTTTTGCAAACAGTGGTAGATGGTTGGAACAAGTTAGTTGTTCCAAACTTGAGAAGGTGGTGGAGGCCAAAACCTTTCATAAAACTATGAAGTTTTTTCTTGAACACTTCCACTTTTGTTCCAGAAATATTTCTTATACCTGCTGGGAGGATACTACAACCATGAACCTCTGATGTTCATACAGTGTTCTCCGATTGTGCCTACGACACCTCTACTCTTCACTGGCTATTCTGCACTTCCTTCCATATCGTTCACTCCAGTACAGTTTGTTGTTATTCTACTGTGGAAATTCGGGACCTGGCCCTCTAGTACCTTACATGTACTGTACAGAGGAACCTCGGTTAACGAATTTAATCCGTTCCGGCACCGAGCTCATCGTGTGAAACGCTCGTGTTGTGAAGTGAATTTCCCATTTTAAAATAATGGAAATACAATTAATCCATTCCACCTCCGAAAAACATCAATATGAAATTTTATAATGTAATTATGTTTTGTTTTACTGTTTTCAATTATACTTTACCTCATGAACAGTCGTTGCTGGCTTGAGGGAGACGATGGGGAGGTGGGAAGGAGGAGAGGGGTTATGGAGTGGAAGGAGAATCCACTTCCGAGTCAGGCAGGCGCTCTCTTGTGAATTTCACCCCACTGGGACCAGGTTGTGGTTCACTATCACTTGCTCGTCTTTTCTGTACCTTCACAGTCACAGCCTGGTTGATCAGGTATCCTTTGGATGTGTTTGTCAAGCTCTCTCTTGAATACTGTGAGGGGTCTGCCAGTTATGCCCCTTATGTGTAGTGGAAGCGTGTTAAACAGTCTCGGGCCTCTGATGTTGATAGAGTTCTCTTTCAGAGTACCTGTTGCACCTCTGCTTTTCAACAGGGGTATTCTGCACATCCTGCCATGCCTTCTGGTCTCATGTGATGTTATTTCTGTGTGCAGGTTTGGGACCAGCCCCTCAATTATTTTCCACGTATAGATTATTATGTATCTCTCCCCCCTGCGCTCAAGGGAATACAGATTTAGGCTCTTTAGTCGGTCCCAGTAGTTTAGATGTTTTACAGAGTGGATTCTAGCAGTAAAGGATCTCTGCACACTCCAGGTCAGCAATTTCTCCAGCTTTGAAAGGGGCTGTCATTGTGCAGCAGTACTCCACTCTAGAGAGCACAAGCGTTTTGAAAAGTATCATCATCGGTACAGCATCTCTAGTGTGAAAAGTTCTTGTTATCCAACCTGTCATTTTTCTTGCAGTTGTGACGGCTATTTTATTGCGTTCTTTAAAGGTAAGGTCTTCCGACATGAGTACACCCAGATCCTTTACATTACCTTTTCGTTCTATGTTATGATTTGCCAGTTTTGTACGTGGTTTCCGTTTTTATATTTTCATTATTATTAAAAAATAAACACCCACCCACCTCGATACTGTAAGCGAGGTGTATATGTGGGGTCATATACACTCTCCCGCCACAATACTGTAAACAAGGAATGGGTGGAACTCCGGACTGCGAGGCCACAGTGGACGCTCCCACAGCTGGGCTATGACGGCTTCTTATATACTGTACAGGTATATACAAATTACAAATGCTTAATTTATACCTTGGCCTACGAATGCCCCTCTTTACGAACTTTTCGAGTTACAAGCCCAATTTCTTTGTAAAATCCGAATTGGGTTACAAACTTGGGTAACATAGTTTGTTGATACGCGTATGGCCGACCTAGTGCGTAATGGCACAGAGACCACACCTCAGTTTACCAGTGCCTCCCGTCTAGTGACAATCGTGCTTGAATTCTTTGTAAAGGATTTCAGTGTTATTCGGATTTTTGGGTATTTGAACATAAAAGTTATTATTATATATCTTGCCATGGGGTCCCAAGAAAGTCAGTGGTAAGGTTCAATTCAAGAAAACATGTGAGGATGACCATAGAGGAAAAGCAAGAGATAATTTGTAAACATAAAATGGTACATGGGTTGTTGAACTAGCTAGGCAGTACAACAAATCTATGTCAATGACAATCACTGTAATTGCTAAGAAAAAGGACATTATGAGTGCTGAAGTGGCAAAAGGCAGATCAACAATCACGAAACAAACATCACAAACACTTGATAATGTTGAAAAGTTATTAATTTGGATACACGACAAGGAGTTAGCAGGTGATGGCGTTTCAGAGGCCATCATTTGTGAAAACACAAGGCTATTGCATGAAGTCCTTTTAAAGAAAACCCCTGGAACAAGTGATGCAGACACAAGAGAGTTTAAAGCAAGCAGGGAATGTTTTAAGAAATTTAGAAAAAGAATTGGCATTCACAGTGTTGTGAGAGTTGTGAGTGTTGCGTGTTGAGTTGGAGGAGGAACACAGCGAAGAACTAACCACCGAAGAAATCCTAGCCCTTCACAAGGAGCAGCAACAAGAGGCAGCTGAGGAAATTTCTTCAGGGGAGTAGGAGGAAGTACAGAAAGTCCCTTCCTCAACAATTAAGACATGGTGTAGACTATGGGAAGAAATGCAAACTTTTATCGAAACAACGCGACCAAAGCAAGCTGTAGTAGGTTGTTGTCTTAACCTTTTTAATGACACTGATGCCTCACTACAGACAAGTGTTACAACGTAGGAAAAAACAAGTCTCTATGGAAAGGCTTTTAGTGAGGGAAAACAAGTAGCGAGCCACAAGCAGGTCCTAGTGGTATGCAATATATTATTACCTAATGCCTCGTAACTCTGCTGCTCTTATTGGTCGCCCAGATGGTATCCAAATTTAAATGAAACATATATACAGCTTATGTATATACATACATATATTTTCACCTCATTTAAAAAAGAAAAAAATCCAGACCACTACAGCTAAACTACAAGAGCTACAGACTTTTTACTTTGGTTTTTGTAATTCCTAGGTGCTAATTAATAATATCAAAAGAAAAAAATACTAGTTTTGGAACAATTTATTTTGGCACATCACGGGAATGTTATTAAAAAAAGATGCGCTATACAGGGGTTAAGGCTTTTGATTGAATTTTGTCCACATCTAGACCTGTTAAGTCTTTTAGTTTGTCAATGTTCTTCCTGATTATGCAACACATTATGGGTACTCTTAATTTGTTCTCTTCACCTTCAGACATTTGAGTGGGTAATGGGATGTCATCTAATCTTTCTAGTGTGAACACTGATTCATTGAGTGCTGCCCTTTTATCATCTACTTTAACTTGGATGGACCCTTAAAAGATAAGACTAACCAGGCCTTTTGTTTTGGTTTTACTTCTTATATCCCCGTGGTGTAGTGGTAAGACACTCGCCCGGTGCTTCACGAGCGCTTTGGCCTGGGTTCGTATCCTGGCCAGGGAGGATTGACTGGGCGTCAATCTTAAACTGTAGCCTCTGTTTACCCATCAGTGAATGGGTTGGCGGGTCATATTCCAGGGAAAATTAGTACAGTTACTTGAGGCGATTCCGGGGCTTAGCAACCCTGCGGCCCGGTCGTCGACCAGGCCTCCTCGTTACCCATATTAAGGATTGGCCTGAAACACTATGGGTGATTATGGCTTTACAAGAATGTAAGAACTCTTGTATATTATATATATATATATATATATATATATATATATATATATATATATATATATATATATATATATATATATATATATATATATATATATATATATATATATATATATATATATATATATATATATATATATATATATATATATATATATATATATATATATATTATATAAATATATAGCCTGGCCTTATATTGAGGAGGCCTGGTCAGAGACCGGGCTGCAGGGACATTGATCCCCGAAATCAATGCAAGGTAGGTAGCCATAGAACGACTTTAGATCTTCCTTTATGTTTTAAGCAAATGTTCTTTCATAGTTTCTTTTAGTTGATCTGATTTTGTGGGTGGCTGAATTAAAGGCCCTTTTATATTTTATTGGGGTCCTTAAAATATAATACAAGGGCTTTTAAGGCCTTTATATTTCATCATCTATGCTGTTTTTTGAGGAGTGATACCTTCTGCAGAGGTTGCACTTATTTTCTACCATCTTGACATGACCATGTCGAACACTTGTAGCAGCTTTATGATGAATAAAAGCAAGAAACACCTACAGGTATATCTTTAGACTTGTGTCAAACATTTTTGTTGAGTACTATTGGGTGAACTTTCACAAGCAGCAGGCAAAGGAATCGTCGGTCCCAGAATGATACACACTGCTCCAAACAGACAGACTGTTGTCACGTGAATCCCCTGCATATCAGTGGAACTGCCTTTTCCCCTCACCTTCAATGCCTCTGCACTGGAAGTCTACCTCTACACCAGCCCAGATGAGTCATCAGTCCTGTCACCTCTCCACCTCTCCTTAACCCTCCAGGGCCTGGCACGGCCTGGTCCAACTCAGAGGCAAGCCGGGCGCCTCTGCTAACCGGTAGTTTGCCGGTTAGCAGAGTAACGGGCTGTTGCATTAAACGTTTTAATGACAATGTGATGTCTCACTAGAAACAAGTGTTAAAACGTAGGGAAAAACAAGTGCCAATAGACAGATTTTTAGCGAGAAACAAGCAGTGAGCCACAAGCAGGTCTTAGTGGTATGCCTGCAAAACGTAGGAGAGAGAGTATCCCAGAAAAGTCCTCACTGCCTGATATTATAATGGAAGGGGACTCCCGGTCTAAACATTAACACCTCTCCTCCTCCCCCCCCCCTCCTCCTCCTCCTCCTCACCGTCTTCCATACGCCAACAAATCCTCATTAAAGGCAAGATATACATACTGTAGTCCAAAATGAGTGGTATTCAGTATAAAATGTATTAAGTTAATATTTTTTGGGGTATAGAACAGATTAATTCAATTTACATTATTTCTTATGGGAAAATTCATTTTGGTTTACGAATTTTTGGTGTACAAAGTGTCTCTGGGAATGGATTAGGATTGTAAACAAAGGTACTACTGTATAAGGGATATCCCTTAACTCATTCTTTTATGCTAAAAACAATTTGTGTGAGGTTTGGGATATATAATTTTTCTAGTGTGAACACTGGTGTAAAGCATTCATTCAGAGTGTTGGCTGTCTCTATTGTCAGTTATAACTTGGTTGGTCTCAATTTTCAAAGACAAATCTGAGTTTTTATTTCTGGTTTTACTCATGTAGGCATAAAAGAACTTGGGATCTTCCTTGGTGTTTTGGATATATTCTCTTTCATAGTTTCTTTTTGGCAATTATATTTCCTGTTTAGGTGAAATTATTGAGAATGGCACAAGATCTAAAATGCTGTTACCTAGGTTGAACTGTCACGTGCTGTAAAAATAGTGTTCTGAATTAGTTCATGAAATTGTTCTCCTTCCATTAGTGACTTTACATTCACCCAGTCTATTGTGAATAGTTAAAATACCCTAAGTGATTGGGCTTCAGCTGCTGCTGTCTTTATCACATTATGCAGGTCTGTCATTTCCTCTGCCATTGTAGTTTTTGCCATTTAGCATACTCTCAATATCAGTTTGCCACCACTTTGAGCTATTATATTGCATCATAGATTCTGAGCACCTTATGTTTATTAATTTTGCATTGTTAGTCGCAGTTGTACTTAGAAATAGTAAAGTACAGTATTATCGTTGCTGCTCTTCCTGTTCCATCATTTCTGAAAGCTATGTGGTACCTTGGAAGGTGGAATTCCCCTTAATTATATCTTCTCGTCCCCATGTTTTACTGATCCCCAATCGTATCTGGATTCTTATCTTAAATAGATGCAAACAATGAGAAATTTATTTACTACACTTCTGGTATTTGTGTAGAAGATATAATTAAACTCTTGACATTGTTCCTAGGAAGCTGAAAGATTGCTCTCGCATTCTGCACACTATTATTCTGTATCATGTCCCTTTCGTTTTGTGCCTGTTAGTTGGTAGAGATATACAGTATAGGGTTAGTTCTGACTCAATGAGTAGAGTACTGTCCTCTTCTCCTATCTGGTCTGCTGCCCTCTCATCTTTAGCTTTCAATTTGTTTTGAGGAACAATTCTCCTTTAGCTCACTTCTCATTTCTTTGCCGTTTTACTGTGAGGCCTGGGGTTATGTAAGTGCTGTATTACCCATCCAGTTTCTTAGACTATGCATTTCTGAATACATTATATTCCTTCTGTGTTTACAATTTGCAATGGTTATGCATGCCAAGTTTCCCCTCAGGCTTACCTAACCTCCCTACCTGGGAAATCCTTAGATCTCCAACTTAGCCTATACATTTTTCTATCATTCTGAAATACAGTACTGTATTGTTAATTGTTTTATCCCTCTTCTTTTACAAGTTTTTTTCTGAGATTTTATTGACCTCAGTGTTGCCAGCACAGAAACTGGTGATAAAATTAAGAATTCTTAGACTTTACCCAAACTTCACTACCAGCAACACAAGTCTAAAAATATCTTATACCTATATCACGATACTGTATATGTACATACACATGGGTACCTATCGAATTTCCTTGAATATACATGAAGAGCAAACTGTAGTCCTGGACAATAATAATAATTTGAATTCGTCACAATGCAACCCCCACAAAAATTGCCAAATTCCTGGGTATCTATTTGCTGCTAGGTGAAGAGGCATAAGTGAAAGGAAATGTGCTCAATCATTTCTGTCCTTCCCAAAATCAAACCAGGAATCCCCTATTGTAGCAAGAACAAAGCCAGACAGGTACATGTGAAAATAATTTTCTCACAGATACAGAGCCTATTAGGCTTATGGAAGACCAATGATGATAGCGCTGGAGAGAGGTCAGTCTTTAAACACATTTAGAAGCCAAGTCTTTGACCGTGTTGGACACCAAATCTCGGACCATGTCCATATATCGGTGCCCAACACCACAATGTTCGGTGTTAAATATCATAAAAACGTATGAGCAAAGATCCAATTTTTGTATGCGTATATGTATGCATATTTCTATTTTGGTTGGTGTTTCCCAGATAATTTGACGAGTTAATTTCCCATGTAGATGGACAAGACATTTTTCTACAACAGCCTCCAGACATTATATTGCACCCTAAGTTCTATTACGCTTCATAGGTGTCTACATCTTGTCAGCCAAAAATCTGAGGATCTGCCTCAGACCTTTCATCTGCCTGAAAGGAATAAAAACCAAAATTCTTAAATTTAAACTTCTTTATTTTGACAACTGTAATATTTTCTTTACGATTCTCCTAAGAGATAACACTGTGATGAACAAAATGTCACAAATAGTTAACCCAAATGTTTTTTGTGAATATCTAGCATATTAACATACATTATTGTGGTATACTGTACTGCATATGCTCTAGTGATTCTTTTGGTGTCATTTCAACAAACTATGCAGGATATATTTTTTTATATACTGATGATGAATAGGGACCAGTGACCATCTAAACACAGGTAACTTTACCCTATACAGCACCTTTTTTTTTTATCCCGGCATACAAACATAATGTATAAACTTGCTTTAAAGTCATAACAAAATTTGTATCTTACCAAGTTTACTATAATTTTTTGTTATCTTACCAAGTCTACTCATTACAGGGTCCTGTAGCACAGGGGCCAGTCTAGTCTGTTCACAATTGAAAGATTTCAGGTTTGATTCCCACAGCAGGATAGACATATTTAAACCCATTTTCCTTCAGTTAATGCCTTTGTTAACCTAGCAGTAAAAGGTAAATAGGTACCCAAGAGTCGGACAACTGTTGTGGGTGTCATCCTGGGAAGTCATTAGTTGTTTAGTTTTAGTTTAGTTTATCATGCACCCCATACCCATCCTGTGGGCGGTAGTGGAAAGGGTTACAGAGGCACATAATGGACTGAGGAACCGAACCCCAGAATTCATTTAGTTAAGCAGGTTACAATCTTCATGAACTGGTTACAAAATTCAATGCCCATCGTCACATCAACAATGGGGTCAAGACCGACCACAAGTACTGTCTCTAAATTAAGCAACCGACATATGTGAAGAGCTAGTGCTATAATTGATTTGTTTATCCTGTACACCGCCCCCCCCATCCAGTGGGCAGCAGTGGAAAGGCTACAATCACCCAGTTACTACCTACAGTTAGCAAACTGGGGATATTTAGCTAGTTGACAATGAGAAACCACATACTACAAAACATTAATTAGTTTAGTGTTGCAAATGAATGCAGTCTTAGGTGTGAGTTGACAACTGTCATCCTTAGTGCTAGAAGCAGATACATTTACATGTAATGCATGCAAGTAAATAAAGAAAGTGCCATTACAAATTTCCAACTAGATATTGACAGAAAATAATGTGGCTGCTTACTATCACAGGACAGTATAGGTACACATTGCTGTACTTCTTAGACAGTGATGTATACGGTACAGGAACTCTGGCCATAATTTAGCCTTTAAGACTGACCAGCCCACCCCCACCCAGACAGTGCTGGCCAGCACATGCCAATATTATTGTTAACAAAAACTGAAAAAAAGTCAAGTTTAAACAATAATTATCAAGTATAAACGGGAAAGCCCCTTTGCCCAGTAGTTGACAGTTGTAAATGGTTGAGTTAGGGGTGAGTGAGAGCACGGTGGAGAGGAAGGGAGAGGTGTGAGAGTGACGAGGGAGAGAGGAGCATCACCTGTCACACCTCCACAACAACACAAAATCAGAATGCCAACTCTTACCTTCATGTTCCTGGCCTCCTCCTGCACACACAACCTCTCGTCACAAACTAACCACAGTGCCCCGGCCAACTCAACCTCCTCCAGACAAGGTGCTTTACAAGCACGCTTAAAGTGATATATGGGCGAGACTACGTGACCCTCCTCAGGCCAGGAAGCAGGGTAGGAGAGGGACCACTGGCACTTCTCGCGTTTCCACTCACCGATAAACAACGTGCTTTTTTTTCCTTGCACTGCACTCGGATTTTCAATTCACTGCACGCCTTTCGTTATTCAACTCTCACCAAACTTGTGGTGGCGGCCAAAGGCAATTCTTAACGTGAACCGTCGGGGAAAATACGTCAAAACTCAAGCGAATTTCCAACGAAAACAAGGAAATTTTCGAGCTGTCACAATTACACTTTCAATTATTTCCCCCATTTCATACATTATATCCTCCAGGAATATTTTTGCCCTATTCCTCGAAGACTCAACTTACTTGATGAATTGTGGAAAATTGCTTGCTCGTCTCGTGATTGGCAGAATCGTCATTTTTAGTATCACTTTGACCGCCCTCTTCATCCGAGGCAGCCATCTTCCTTTCTCACGGGCTCACACAGCTCTCAGCGCTCCCATTGGCCCGCGCCCTCAACACCTCCCACACACCCACAGCATTGTAAAAATACCATACATATCATTTATTCCCTCTCCTCTCATCCATTTCCATCCAATGACTCGCTTCGAGTGGAATCTTTCCCATTTGCAAGAGCTGGGATGGATGAGCGTGGTTGTATATGTGAGTGGGTGAGGTAGGGGGGGATGGGAGGGAGAGGGGGCCGGACACCATGCAGGAACGGTGCCAACGCTGCTGCTGCTGCTGCTGCTGCCGCTGCTGCTGCTCGTGTTGTTATTACCAGCAGACGATGGATGCCTCGCACTCCTTCTCCTCCTTCCTCCTCCACAAACCACATAAATAATTGACTAAACCTGACATTTTGTTCGGCTTGATACGGTGCCCCTTAGGCCACGAGCATATGGCGTCGGAACATCTCGGTAATCCCGGGTAGTTGGCCCACAGGTGTCATTAATACACTACGGGATTTTGTTTAAAAAGGCACCCCTTGTCACTACCATCTACCATTTAAACAGTACTAAATGAACTGTGGGGTTCAGTCCCTGAACCCATTATGTGCCTCTGTAACCCTTTCCACTACCGCCCACAAGATGGGTATGGGGTGCATAATAAATGAACTAAACTAACTCTGCCATTTAAACAGTACTTAAGTGAACACTTTTGTGCTCCACTCAAAGTGCTTTTGAACATTTCAAGGAACTAGTTTTGCACAGCAGAAATATAGTATTTGTATTATTATTATTATTAAGCTTAGGTATACAATATCGCATCTGCGATGACTTTGGGGTCGAAGAGCCGAAGCTCAACCCCGGCAACCACAACTAGATGAGTACTAAATGAACGTCAATGAAAGTCGTGCTATTCTAAAATTAAAATAATTGCACGTTTAAAACAAGATAGCATTTATAGTTCCAGTTGACTTGCTATAATAATTGAACGTAATTATCAGTGGCAATGTATGGTATGTATGTATGTATGTGTATATACATTGTATATATAGTACAGTGTACTGTATATACATACAGTGTATGTATATACAGTCTTACATTGATGTTTGTTGAACTTGAAACCGTTGCTCCTTGTTTGTATTTTGTATTACATCTGACCTTTTGAAGAAATTATCAGGATCAACATCCTCCAGCTTACCTTTTAACCCACAGGGTTATTAAACCATGGAACCACCTACCCACCGAAGTCGTAAATGCCAAAACTGTTAACTTTTAAGGAACAACTGGAAAAGAACATCACGGCAAATGAGGGGAGCTTCGACAAGCCGCTGGTTTCCTGTCCTCGTCAAGGCCACTAGTGTTAGTAACGTTCAGGTGAACTTGTTTAGTATTTTTAAAGTTTCAATGAGATCTGCCCTGTCATGCCTGGTTTGCAGTGTTGTTAGCCCTGTGGCCCTCAACCGTTCCTGATACAAGAGATGACTTAGCTCTGGAATGACTTTTGTTGCCCGGTGTTGCACTTTCTTCCGAGTAGCTATGTTCTTATAAAGAAAGGTCTCCATGCTTGGATCTAAATGGGGACGCACCAGAGATTTATACAGTTGAATCACTATCTTCTTTTCCTTAAAGTCAAAGATACGCTTGATTATTCCAAGGGTTTGGTTAGCTTTTATGACTGCTGCTCAATGACATACCGGTAATCACAGAAACTGTTAAGTCTACGGACAATACAACAAATATTTAATATTTGACCCTAGGAAAGTCGCAAAGGAGGGGGATTGGCTGGGTTAGATCACGATATTCCTTAAAGTGTGGCACTGGAACCGACCCCGACAGACCTGTGACGATGCCATACCCAACACTGTTCATGTGTGAAAGTTGAGTGAAGGTGCCGTAACCCCAAGGGGCTGTCGTAACACCCAACTGCTGTCGTGAATTTGGCCCCAGTTGGCCTCCAACCTTGAAGAGACAGATACACATTCTCTCTCTCTCTCTTATATAAATACACAGGAACATGTTACAGTGATTAATTAGTAGGTACATCAATCACATATTATATAAAGTTATTAATTACGCACAACGTTCCGGCCATAATATCCTTTCATGCCTGCAGCTGAGGGAGTTTTAGGTCAGTTTATGTTCGCCCGGTCAAAACGCTGTGCGTGTTAGTGGCTTTACAAGAATGTAAAAACATCACTGTACTCTCATAAACCCAATGTAGCTTCTTGTATTTATATATACATAATTAAATGATGCACCCCATAGCCGTCTTGATGGCGGTAGTGAAAAGGTCACAGAGGAACATATATGGGCTCAGGAAATGAACCCCCAAATTCATTTAGCTCTTCATTCATTCTTCAATATTCATTTCATTTAGCTATGCATGTTACAGTCTTGATAACCTAGTTACATAGCTTAATGTATATTTATTAACATATAGCAACAATGGGGTTCAAGAACGACCTCAAGTAAAGTCCCCAAGCCCAACAATGGGTTCAAGAACGACCTCAAGTAAAGTCCCCAAGCCCAACAATGGGTTCAAGAACGACCTCAAGTAAAGTCCCCAAGCCCAACAATGGGTTCAAGAACGATCTCAAGTAAAGTCCCCAAGCCCAACAATGGGTTCAAGAACGACCTCAAGTAAAGTCCCCAAGCCCAACAATGGGTTCAAGAACGACCTCAAGTAAAGTCCCCAAGCCTAACAATGGGTTCAAGAACGACCTCAAGTAAAGTCCCCAAGCCCAACAATGGGTTCAAGAACGATCTCAAGTAAAGTCCCCAAGCTCAACAACTTACTTTTGTGGTGAGCTAGTTTTATTATTTGATTTACTTAGCATGTACCGTCCCCCTTCCCTCACTCCCATCTAGTGGGAGACTGTGGAGAGGTTACAATCATCTGCATTATATTGAGAAGCGTTGATGAGCATCTTTACATAAGAACTAGTAAAACGGTACTCATTAATGTTTACCAATATAATAAGAAGAGCTAAACTTAAAGAAATTTTGAAAACAGACTTCAAGAAGCAAACTCCACAAATGGTCAGAAGACTGTCAAATGTTTTTTAATATTGACAAATGCAAGACCTTGCATGTGGGGCATAACAACCCACGCCATAACTACCAAATTAATAACATTACATTACATTACAGCAGACTGGTGAAGAGAAGTACCTTGGAATCAAACTCCACCACTCAATGAAAGTTGCATAGGTGGAAGGAAGGAGCAGCAGTCAAAAAAGCTAACTTTTAAAATACTGAACAATTTGGAGGATGATTACCCGGAAAAGTTTCTTCAAAAGGTCAGATGTAACACAAACAAGCAGCAACGGTTTCCAGCTCAACAAGCCACAATGTAGGACTGAGAGCAGGAGATGCTTTTTCACCCACAGGGTTATAAACCCATGGAACCGCCTACCCGCCGATGCCGTAAATGCCAAAACTCTGTTAACTTTTAAAGTACAACTGGAAAAGATCATAAAGGCAAATGGGGGACCTTCAAAATCCACCGGCTTCCTGTCCTCGTCGAGGCCACTCGTGTTAGTGGCTCAGGTAAATTCAGATAAAAACGAAACATGAAAACCACATGGAAAACTACCTTTAATATCAGGAACGGTTGAGGACCACAAGACTAACAAATCCTCCCCCAAGAATCTCTGAAATAACTCCGATTTCTGTTCTCAGAATGCAAGGAGAGGGCAGACTTAAAGTATTAAACTCTACGTTAATCATATACCATATTTTACACCTTGACTCCATGGAAATGGCCTAGGGGGTGTTATAGGTTGGTAATATTTCTTGAAGCATTTAACTTAAGCCTACCCAGACCAGCCTAAATCCGTTCCGTACCACAGACCATTCTGAAATTCGGGTGAGAGGTAGTCTCAAGCGTCTGGCTCCAACTTTAGACATTCTTCTTATATCCTATGTAAATGTTTGTACTGCACTTTTGCTTAAATAAAAATTATTATTATTATTATTATTATTATTATTATTATTATAGGTATACTAGGAGGGGTACTCAGTGGTGCCCAGGTTCCCTCTCTCCCTCCCCTCGTCCTCCTTACCTTCCAACCATCTTCCCCACCAGAGCCGGATTTATAAGAAGGCAATTACCTGGAGACTTCCTGCCAGACTTCCAAAACAACAACAACAAAAAACTAATATTTGTAAAATTTAAAAAATTACTTTTAAACTTTTGTTGTTGATCGTGAATAGAAACAGTGAAAACTAAACTTCTTTATTATTCTGTTGCTCAGCTGTTATTTAGTGTGAATACATTAATTAATATCTTAGATGGCGGTATAAAATGAAAAAATATCAGAAATGTGCATAATTTAAAGAAATAAAGGCATCACAACACTTCATACCTTATCTGATCACCAGTAATTAATATCACTTTACCCTGTACTGAATTACAAAATGAACAAATTACTCAAAGTTATTCTTAGTGAATAAAATTGAGAAAAATAAAATCAGACAAGTATCTCCTTTGGAGCCTTACATATTTTTTCAAACTTATTCAATTTATCACCATTAACACTTTTTATTTGTCATGTAATGACAAATAAAAAGTGCCCCTCCCCCCTTGAATTTGAAGTGCCCCAGACCCCCTGAAGGTTCGACCCTACCCCCCCCCTTCATTCTTAACATCTATACCCCTTTCCCCTATCCCACCTCCTGCTTAGCCCCTCTTCCCTTTAATAAAATATAACATTAGTGATCAGTGAAACTACTGTATGGGTCTTACCATCCTTCCCTTCCTCCCTCCTCCCCCCTCATCCCTCTCCCACATCCTGTCTCTTCCCCCTCCCATGCTCAACCCCTCTTCCCTTTCATAAAACATAATATTACAGAGCAATGAAACTGC